AAAGTGATCCCTTTTTTCCCGTGAGATTGAATGTAACTTATTCAAAACAATGAATCATAATAATGTGAATCGTACCATTGTGTAGATTTGCTGCAATCTTTATAAGAAAGTTAGACTATTATTAGGGAGGATAAAAACTTTGTGAAGATAACCAGCACACTGGGAAAAAATGGATAATTAAATTTGACGAAACTTCCCTCATTTTTGACGAAACCGTTTCTCGGTATATACTCCGAGGGAACATTTCGTTAAAGTGATGAAATTAGTATCCTGACTTCTTCGAGGAAACGAATTTCGTCAATGGTAAAAAAGAATCGTAGTACCTAATGTATCTAACTTTTTTAATAATCACTTTACGGTGGGCACCCCATAGCAGGGTCAATGTCGTCGTAATAACACAAGACAAATAGAAGAGAGAAATAAATGACACCCATGCCCGAAGCGGGATTCGAACCAAGGGTCATCCTGGTAGGAGGCCAACTCCTTGACCATCATACATACGGTCGGCTTATTTCGTTTCTTTATTTTCGATCGTCTAGCTTTCATCCTTATTCTATCTTCGATAAGAGTGCGTACTTTAAAAAGAAGACGAACTTTATATAACTGTTTTTTTTCTTTCTTGCTTCAAGATAAACGGTCAGATCTTATCCACTTCCGAACTCTCTTAGCATCCATCTAAAATGATTTGTTCCTTTTCTTTTCATTTGGTTCATATCTAAATGATACGGTTGATACAGATGTAACTGTTACGGCAAAGTAAAGTACTACAACGAAATATCTTAATGGGCATTTCTTTTTCTTGTAGGCTAAAGCTATCCTTTTTTTTCCCGTGAGATTGAATGTAACTTATTCAAAACAATGAATTATAATAATGTGATTCGTATCATTGCGCTAACTTGCTGTAATCTTTCTGAGAAAGTTAAACTGTTACTTGGAAGATAAAAATTTGGTGAAGATAACCAATAGACTATAAAAAATGGATACTCAAATTTCACGATAGTTTCTTCGCTTTTGACGAAACCGTTTCCTGGCGTATGATCCAAGGAAACATTTCGTCAAGTGACGAAATATTTCGTTATTCCATTTCTTTTCCAAAAAAAATAAATAATAATAAATAAATAAATAAATAAAAGAAAACTCGTACTGTTTAATGTATCAAATGTATCTAACTGTTTTCAGAACATTGATGAAGTTAAATTTAAATGAAAATCGTCTAGTTTACAATACCAGTTTGTAGAATTTTTATTTTATTTATTATAACCGTCGTTGAACAGCCGACCCAATTTTATCGGTTTACGACTACTAATGTTCAACTCTATAGCCTTGTAATTTTAAACCCAATCTAGAAGTCAAGGGAGCTCCTGGATCAAGTATTGGAAGAAATTTGCCTTCGTGAAGGAGTTTATGGAACTAACCAGCATTTAAGTTACATGGAGAGGAAAACTACGAAGACTTCTAACGGTAAGTTAGACGAAAGGGGGACTCTAACCCATGATCCANGTCAGCACTGTGGTCGGTGCAAGCCGGATGCGGAATTCGTATCTACTGGGATTCGAACCCATTGGAATGCGAACGCTCTATCTCCTGAGAGACAGCGGCTCTAGTTTATAGAGGTTATACAGAACATTTCAAAAACTCAGGGTGTTACAAAAAACGGATATTCAATATAATGCAGATATTAATTGTCTTTTTTTTAAGTCGTATTCACAGAAAAAAAAAATTAAACATCGCTTTAGTTGAAGACAGTTGCAGTTACATCGTTTCCAGCCTCATCATTTGGAGAGGAACCAAATAATCTGATGTCGGGAAAGTATTTTTTATTTTTTTATTATTTAGGATGCTCGGATAGATTTCTGAACTCTGGCAGCTGAATACATATTTACCAACGACTATTAAATCTTCCATGACTTCTACGTTACAGTCACCGCGGTGTTAATAATTAAGAGGCCTCAGCCTTAAATATCGCCATCCCACACATATGATTCACATGCGAATCAGCTACTGTAAATAGCTTATGAAATAAATAATTGCTTAGTTTTTATCTAATTTTTTCAATTGATTTATTTTTAAATAATCATTTAAATGAAACAAAAAAATATGCTTCAGGTGAATGTAATACTAACGATTTCCATGCAATGAATTTGTAAAATAAAAAATAAATATCTACCAATGGAAAATAAATTTCTTTTGGGCAAGAGTTTGGAAAATAAATATCAACAAATCCCGTGTATAACTAGTATTACTTTCTAAATAAAAGTTCACGGAATATTCTGACAACCACTATTTTGTGCCGTTTTCTAAATACGTCAGTGTCGAGGAATAATATTTAGAAAAATAATATGTCGTGCGTCATGAACCAGACTACGATCAATCTCAAATTCAGTATCACTGGGGGAATAAATTTTTTTTATGGGGACATGGAGGACTTTGTTACCCGACAAATTTAACGTGCACCAATTATTATTTACTACACGGGGTCTTCGGCCGGCTGGATTCGAACTCCCGTTCTCACGAAAATTATTCAAGCGCCCCACCAACCAAACTATCCCGGCCCATTATTGCCGTTAAAAAATAAATATTTACAGATAGCATGTAAATAGTATTAACTTTTTAAAACGAGAGTTCGCTGGAAACCACATATTGATCTCTATTCTCAAATTGTACTTTGATGTTAATTTAAACGAGAGTGACGAGTTTGAAAATAGAAATGATATAAAGCTATTCATACAGTTTGCCAAATAGTTGTTTAAATTCATTGCAATGCAGAATGTTTAATCATTAGTTATCGAATCATTCTCTACGTACTAATTCACAATAGCTCCGCAGCTGTAATGTTTTTTTCACTGGTAGCTGCAAAGTTTTCCCACTGGTCACAACTAAGATAAGGAATAGAAACTCGGCAGATACTTAATGTTAGTTTTTAAGCAAACTATTGAGTTTTGGTAATAATTCCATTTCTTGAAATTTTATTTTATAATCACCGTTGAACTGCCGACCCAACTTTGAGTTTGTCACTATTTTCAATTTCGTAGCTTTGTAATTTTTTTTCTAATGGCAGTCACTGAACTTTTACGTTCTTCGCCTAGGAAGATGCCGGAAGTATTACTCACTTAACGTTACCCAGTGGGCACCTGTGAACCTAAGTCACTGAGGCGAGCAACATTACCCACGTCACACTGCCACAGATACCCGTTTATAGGGTGAGCCACATTGACACATCACACAATAGAGAACAACACACAGAGAGAAACATCCATGCCTTGAGCGGGATTCGAATCCGCATCCATTGGCTTCGCAGTCAGGCGCGCTAACCGCTAGATCGTCTGGTCGGCTCCCTGTAATTTTTTTAATCACCTCAGAAGGCAACTAGTCTTCGTGGAGGACTTTTCGATGGAACTAAGCAGTATTTGCGTTACACGGTGTGAAAAACCACGTAAACCTACCACGGTTAGCCCGACGGCAAGGGGATTCTAACCCATGATCCGTCTACTACTGAGGATATTTTATGTCAACACTGTGCGATTCGGAGAGGAGGCAGAAATCGTATCAACCAGCCATGCCTGGGATTCGAACTTGCGTCACTTCATTGGGAGGCAAACGCTCTATCCCCAGAGCTATCAAGATTCTAATAATTCTATTGAGAAAAATCTAAAGATTTTTTTTTTAGATAAAATATCTTTAGATGTTCTCTATAGAATTATTACTATAATATTCAATGGTTGACACAAGCTTATGTTTGTAGACCCAATACAAATTTATTCATAGCTATTTTTCATTAGTTATATCGTTATTCTTTTGTTTTGATATAAATATACCAATCATTAATCAACTCACATCATTTTCAATTGAGCTCAATTTGATTCGAACATTAATATAGTGTTAACAGAGTTCAAACAGAAATAAAAAAGAAATTGCCTAAAGCTAATGTTTTAAGGGAAAAAAAATAAACGAAAAAATAAGAATAAGCACGAATTACAAACTTTTTCATGTTTTTTTTAAGCAAGGTTAACACCTTAAAATAATAATGCTTTTTTTCTTCTTAAAAAATAAGTTACTAAGTTGAAAAAACTAGTCATGAATAAATCAAGCCTACTGTGGCTACTCATATTAAAAAAAACTAGATAGAAAAATATCAGCAAATTACCAATTAAAAATAAAATATTGAAAATAGTAATTTTAATTTAGTAGAATTGAATATTTTTCTTTAAACTTTTAGTTTTGAAATGACAATTTATGAAAAAAAAAACATGACTTGAATCGTTTAAAAATCTCTCAACAAAAAATACAATACACCACGTGGTGTGTCTTAAAGAAATTGTTTCGTTTAAGAATATATTAAGTAACAAATAAATAAATTTGTAACCTCTTTCAAAAAAGAAATAAAAGCATAAAAATTATTTCATAAAAATCCTCATCTTCAATCGTCTTTTGTTTCAGTCTGATTCTTCCAACTAATTTATTCATAAATATGAAAAGCTAATATCCTTTCAAACATGAGACGAGTTCTTTTTCTTAATTAGCAGAAAAGGAAAAGAAGAGTTTTAATAAATATTTTAACGTCAAATATCCCATTAAAATATTCTACTTACTTCACATAATAGAAAAAAAAAAGGACGTGTAATCTTATTTTAATTAATCTCGTAAAATTTTCCAACCACTTTCTATAATTAATTTATTTAATTAAGTATATCAAAGAATACTTATTTTGACGTAAGCTCGTTTTATACAGTGAAGATAAAAAAAAAAGAAGCTGGCCAATTTATCAAGTTGAAAGGAGAATTGTAAAACGCATTTATCTTAAAAGAGAAATTTCTTTAAATCTTAAAGTGCTCGTGAATTTTGAAGTGCTCTCTTCATTTCTCAATAGCATTCTTCAACAGAATTCAATGGCTACTTTGAAAAAAGAGAGGATAATGAAATTTAAACATTCTTTTACCTTATTTAGATCAAAACAGTTAAAAAAAAGATTGAAAGGATGTAACAGATAAAGCTGTACTCACGTTTTGGTGTTTCTGGGCTTGGTGCTTCAAGATCAGGAGGCACCTGTGAAATAAAATAAAAAAATAAATACCACAGATAAAAAAGCAACAAAAAGATAAAGTATTTATACCTGCAGTTTAGTTTTGTGTTAAATTTGAATTAAGATTATTTTAGAATTAGATACGCGGTTAAAATTATTACTCGAAATTTTAATTTTATGCACTTTTATAATTTTCATTCGAAAATTACGGTAAAATAACCGATAGCAGGCTGTCCATTCACTTAACCGTAAAGTCGGTGGTAAAGAAAATTTTTTTCGATTTACTGTTTTAAAACGTTTACAACTAGTATGGCTAAAAAAAATCATGAATACAAAACTACGTTGCTTTTAAACCATTCACAACTAGTATGTAAATTCTCGATTTTTTTGTGTTAAACAGCTTAATGGTGCTACCATTTATACGTGAGTGAAAGTATCGCATTCCAATAGTCCAGGGTCACAAATTGGGGAGTGCAGAGTAGTGGGCAACGGAGAAAATATTGTGGTGTCAACGCTGGGACTCGAACCTTCGCTCTGTCGGTCATGAGACTGACAGATTAGTCCTCTCGGCTATAACATGTACCCACCAGCAAAAAACTAAGTGACTTCATTAAGTGGGCATAGTTGGTGCGATAAACTTCTGGTTTTTTAACCGTATTACGCGAAAGCAGTTAATAAACAGTTTTTTAAGAGTTTACTCTTTAAATACCATCTTATTTATGATTATTTGACTATTTTCTTTGAATATGTTAAAATTGCAATTAAATAAATAGTTATTTAACCATTTTTTTCCGAGAAATTTCTAATTAGTGTGCGCCAAAAAAAGCATCTTTACAGTTGCTGAAGATAAATAAAACTTAAAAGATTTCGTCTCATAATTTTAAAGCATATGAAAATTCAGAATTATTTTTTTCTATAACCAAAATGCTAAAATTAGTGGTCAAATTTTGCTCAGTTTATAAACTCTCTTTCTGTACAACAATTTGCAATTCAAAAAGTGATGCAACTTATACAATACATCTTTTAAAACAACAATTTTTGATACAATAAGTGTCTTAGCAGTAAGTTACTCTAAACAATTTGTTACACAACTTAAACTAGTATTCTCTTTTTTTACTGTAAATTGTATAATTGTTACCCTAAAAGTTTCCCACCTTAAACAATCTTTTAATACATAAAATATCGTCACAAACCAAAAACCAATCAGAAAAATTTCTTCTTGTACAATATTTTTAAACCCAAAGAGTATTTTAACTTATACAATTTCCTTATGCATAATAATTTGTAACCCAACAATGCATGGCATTCATAGGTTTTATGATTCATTCATGTAAAAAAACATAGTAGCACACATTCGTTCACTTTTAATTCTTTTATAACTTTTCATTAAACTATAAACATTTAAAGCAAAATGTATAAAAAACAGATTCTGTTTTGAAGTGGTTTTTAATATAGTAAAAAACAATTTAAACGCCTTTCTGCGACAACAATTCTTTTGCAATATGAAGAATAAAAAAAAAAATGATCAAAAAACCAATTCAATGGTGTTTCTTTCAATTAAAATATAAACTATTAATACTCGCTTCATTTACGGGAGGAAGAAGATTAATCAAAAGATGATAGTCTTTTTTTTTATAACAACACTGAAAAGATAGTTCAATCTTATCAAATTCAATAGGTGTAAAAAAAAAAAAAGTCTTGGACAAAACATAATTCCTTAGGATCGGAAGTACTTAAAAATTGAATTCAAAATAAAGCAGGGTGGAGAAATTTTTTTTCAAAAGTTGGCTGGAAGGGTGGGAATCCTTTTTCCAATTTAAAATTAATGAAATTCCAGCGGAACTCCGCGTCGCTTTCTGCACCAAATGAGATTATTATTATGGCTTCAGGCGCCTAAAGAGAGATGAGAACAAGCCTGTATATAAAAAGAAAATGATTTTTTTTTAAAAATCTCCAAAGCTTTTTTTCCTCTTTTTTATTCCATATCGATAGTGCATTTAATAAATATTTGGATTAGAATAAAATTTTCGAAAGAACAGGTGCAAGCGAGGGGAAAGTGAGATTTGGCGGAAAAAATTTAAAACAGAAAAGAAGATTTCTTTTAGGAATGAAAAAGATTTGATTGAAGTTCCGCGGGTTTTAAGAAATTAATATGAATCCAATGGAAAGAAAACTTTTAAAGAAATATTAAGTGATATTTTTACATTTTGAAGCCATCATGTTAAATTAATATGGATTACATACATGATTAAAAATTTCGAAATAACCCCAACCCCAATGTACGCGAAAAGAAAAAGATTTTTGGTTGCTAATATATTAATTGATTTGTTAATCCTGAGAAATCCATTGCAACAGAGAATATGATTTGATGAAAAAATATTAATTTAATTTAAGATTGCTTACTCTTTTTGAAATACATAATAATTTTTCAGACACTGACATGAATCTAGTGATTCTAAAAAGACACCTTAATTTTATTTTCGTTGTATATTTATTTATTTGAATTGAAATGTTTTAAATAAAAAATATGAATTAAAATATCGTTTGAATTAAAGTTTTTAAATTTAAACTTGAAATATGCATATTTGGCTTAAGTTCGGAAGAGTTTGTTGGGCTCACTTTCGGAGGTTCAAGCCCACCCGAAAGACTTTAATTCGAGTCCCACCCGAGTCAGAGTGAATACGAATACTTAGAGCTCAGTTCGAGATACGTAGAATTATTTAAAGCCCGAGATACACATGATTGCTTAGAGCCCGATATACATAGGATTACTTAGAGCCAAGTTCGGGTGCGTAGGATTACTTAGAGCCGAGTCCGAGATACGTAGAATTATTTAGAGTCCGAGATTTATAGGATTACTTAGACCTTTAGCCTGAGACATACGTTGGATAAAGGTCAAATTTTTCGGTCTCATCACTTAGCCTTCGATGTCTAAACAATAAAATTAGTCACTAAAATCATTTTTTTTATTATTAACGCATAAACAATTAGTGTTATGCTAAAAAATCCTAACAATTAGTGTTAAGCTCAAAAAGCAAAAGCACTGAACAGAAGTAGATTGCTGTAATTTTTCAATGCTTCATAACTAAACCAAACACTTGTTCAAAAGTAGTAAAAAAGTTTATGAGAAGTTCAAGTTCAAGCGCGTCCTTTTCACTTATATATATATATATATATATATNTATATATATATACGTGAATATTTATTTTATACATTGTATTGCAACAAAGTATTCTATTTAGTATATTTAATGCAAATTCTAAAAATTTTTAGATTTATTTTTTCCCCATTACTTCAAGAAAAACTTCGATTTAAACCGGATATTTTCTATTGCAAACATTTTTCACGTCAAAGTAAAGTTAAAAAAAAAATCACATTTTCGGACTCCCACAGAGATATAAATAAAATCGAAAAAGCATAGAAAATAGTGACCACCCTCAATTCCAGATAGGGTATAAATCCATTTCCCTGAAAATAGCAGGAAGGAAAACGGGAATAAATACATCAAAGAAGAAGAGGGGAAAACCTTCTTCATTCAACAACTGTTCCACTTTTAAAAAGCTGAATGAAAAGCGGTAACCAGGGCAACAGAGAACAAGGGATGGGGCAGTTTTTGAAGGACCCTGGCGGTCAAGATTGAGACCTGGAAAATGGATAGGGCATTTAATACGCCTGAATAAAACGTAAGCCGCATTTTTTTGGCTCTCCTCTTTTCATCTTTCTCTATCCTGTCGTCTATTTTAAGCAACTGAAATATAAAGTTACAGTAAATATTTCGGTTTTGTGATGTTAAAATTATGCATTATAAATTTTTTGTTTCATTGTTATTTAACTAAATAAAGTAGTATTTTTTTTCTTCCTGTTTTTGATTTTAAGGAGTTTTTTTTATAGAGTTATCTTGTTTTTGTACTTCATTTTTTTTGTATCAAATATATATACATTTTTAAATTTTTATTCTAAGAATAAAGTCGTAATTTCCTTATTTTGCATTTTAAATGCAACAGTTTTTGTTTTAATTTCGGTGTTTATTTAGAACTTTTTCATTTTTTAAATATTATTTAATTTTAATTGCATTTGTTCTTTTATTAAATTAAAAATTGTGTGATGTTGAGTGATTAATATTAATGGATATTTTTTAGCCCTTATCTTATTTCCTGTAAGTTATTTAAATAAATGAAGTTTTCAGTTTATAAAAATATCAAACCAAATTAGTATTGCCACCATCTGTTATCACAGTTTTAAAACTGTACTTGAAGCGAAAAATTATTAATACAACAGAAAAGTTATCAGAAACAATCCATATCAATTTTGGTGTAATCGATATCTGCATAGCAATCATGGAATGTGCTGGATTTTTTAATAAACAGTGTAATAAACGATTAATAAATTGAATTAACAAAAAAAGAAAGTAATTAATAAATATAAATCAATAACTAAAAAGAAAGTAATTAATAAACACAAATTAATAATTAAACACAAATAAATACATTTTACATACTTTGGATTGAATTTAAAAGCCAAAATACATAAAATATTTTCTTAAAATAATTTATTCTACGTACTATTTTGGAAAAAGTTAAAAACATCATTAACTTATAGCTTTGATTACGAAACACTTTTCTTTTTAAATGCTAAAACATAATCTAATTTAGCAAACAAATTTAATCAATATCATTAAAAAAGTTACATAATCTAGTGGTAATACATTAAAGACATTAAAAATCTATTAATTATATTTGTTCAAAAACACTGTAATGATTTTTTAATGCTATAGGCTTCATAAAGTAGCTAAGCCAGCAACCTTTTTTATTAATAACTATTACAACATTAATATTACTCAATTGTCAATAGCGAATATTTAATACTTTTCTATAAATAGAATTCTGAGCATGAATCAGATATAAAAAGTTAATATGTATGGTTTCATTCGAAAACATGCTATTTCGACGCAAGGTGGAAAAATAAATGTCATCTAGATTTACACAGCTTTTCGATACGAAGTATGTACCAATAAAATATCCAAGTCGTGGAAGAAGTACTTCGAATAAATCCTCTATGGCCCGCAGAAATAAATTTTATTTCCATCGAAGCTTTATTATAACGATCGTCAATATTTATTTCCAGTATCAGAAGGCTGTTACACATTTTTACACTACTAAAGAAAACGATCCTTTTTGGCGAAAAATAGCGCCAAATTTTTCTAATCGTTTTTCTTAAAAGGAGGGATTTGTTATTTAGGAAATAGAGAAAGCAAAATGGAATAGAACTCGGAGAGAAAACTGTTTTCCGCGATGGGGCTATACGGTTTCTAATCTATTACAACGGTTTAATATTCAGAAGAAGTGTTGAACATGGAAAAAAAAAAGAATTTCATATACGTCAGTTGAAAAAATGCGAAATGATAAGGAAAAGGAATTATCTTCGAATTTTTTTTAAAGAAATATATCGCAAACGCATTAGGAAACGAATAAAGAGAATAAATTTAATGAAAAAAGAAGAAATAAATTGTTCTGATGTAAAGGAAAATTAAAGCACAAGGTTGCTTGAACTAAAGTTGAAGATTTCCTTTTCTCGTATCTAAAGATATTTTAAGGTGGCTGTATAAAAGTTTATATAATTGCTACGAAAATAATATTTAAAATTTTATTTGTAAAAATAAGTACACAATACTTTTTAGTAAATTATTTCTTAAAAAATAATTAATTAAAATTTTATGATACTTTTTTGCTGATTAAATTACGTTACCGCATTTGAATATATTTTTAAAACAAATAAAATGAATATTTTTAAGATCATTCATGTTATAGTTTTACTTAACCTGAGAAAATTCAAAATGTGTTTTTTCTTCAGATTTAATTTTTCAGGTAAAGGTATTTTTTTTTCTAAAATTTATAGTTTGTTTTAAATAATTTATAAAGCAATCATCTTCATTCAATTTTTTAGAATTTAAAAAATAAAATAAAAAATAAACTTTGAATTTTTTTTAAAAACAGATATTGAAAAAATATTTTGCTTAAGAGTAATTTTGTTTTTCATTTAAAGTGAATAATATGTATTTACTTCGGTTTTTATTATTTTTATTTACTAAATTTTATTAGGAAACATACATTAAATTATATTAGAATTACTAAACACATAAATAAGTAGTACAGTTTTATAAGAGTAACAAAACAAATAACAGATGTAAGCATGCAATAAAACATCTAAAAGATGTTAACAACGCATCTTAAAACACATTATTAAAAAAAAAAAAAGTAAACGTATAGTGTTTGTAGTGAATATATAAGCTTTATTTCTAGGTATGAAATTGACCATTTTGGAAACATTTTTTGACTATTCTGGTACATTAGTTTCAAATCTTTTATACGTGTTTTTGTAGTTGCACCTTTTTTAAACCTTTTGCTTCAGTTGCACCTTTCTTGATTTCTATAAAGATGAATTAGACTATATTCTGGAAAAAATTTTTGCAATGATATTTCAGTTTCGAATCTTTTATTCGTAATTTTGTCGTTGCATCTTTTAAAAAAATTAATGAGCTTTCCTTTAGGGTAATTTGATTTCCCTTTTTCACGAAACAGATTAGAAAGATCCAGTGAGGAAATATTGGAATATCTGGTCGAACTTATATAAGATTAAAAAGAAATCTATTCAACATTGACCCATAATATCGGAGCTTTATAACAAAATATTGTGAGAATGGGGTTCAAATTTAGTAAGGTGTTGAGCTGAACCATTTATCAGCTCAAATTTAACCACAGTATTGCGTAATCAAGTGTCAAGGTTTAATTCAGCTACTGTTCAGCCTGCTACCGTATTAAGGTTCAAGGTAATTTAAATGGTATTATGGTTCAACACATTTTAAAATTTACAACAATATAAAAAACGGTGGTCAAAACATAAATAAAAAGCAATCAAGAAAGTTAATACAATGTTAACTACTGCATTATGAGAATAGAGTTAACTATGACAACCATAAAGGCCACGGCTCACAAAATTTAGCTTATGTCCAACAAATATTTTGTTGAGTTGAATCAAACGATGCCAGTTTGAAATTTAAACTATTCACAAAGATTTTATCAGCTCGTCCAGACGAGCGAAAACACTTTTGATGGACATCGTTAGTGACCCTATTTAAACTTTAGAGGCCCTTTTCCGAAGGCAGTTTAATTCGATACCTGGCATGGAATATTTTGGCTTTGAAGTCCAACAAGAATTCCAACTCCGACCCATCTCGCCATTTAGCCAGGAGAAAATGACGATGAAGCCATCAGTAACTGCCTCGAAACAGCTAATTAACCGGCAGTGTGAAACGATTAAGCCCTTCTACGCCTTCTCTTCAAAAGCGCCCTGCCCGAAAAGCCCCGGCGGCAAATATAGGGCTCTACAAGTTGTCACGCAGCCCCTTTAACTGTGTTGCAGTGCCGGGGATATTAAGCAGCGGGTATAAGCCCCGGCCTTCCACGATAACGGCTGCAGAATTATGGTACATTTACGGTTCCAGTTTCTCAGCTTCAAAGCTTTTAACTGCCTCGTAAAAATCCGCCATTACGACCATACTGGGGATCTGTTCTTTAATGGCAGATTCGTAAAAGGAGAAACTCAGTTGATGTTTATCTGCTTTTTATAACCGAGGACTCCTTTTCTTGCAGAATTCGTTTTTTTTTCTTCCGAGTTATTTTATTTCGAACGTATTATTACGTTCCTTCTTTTTCCGCGATCCGGATAATGGTTCCATTCCGTTCTTCCATTTCTTTTGTAAAAGGGGGACATATATTCTTAAGAGAATAATCTTGAGATGAGAAGAAAAAAAGAAAAAGTCATTCTTTTTTTGGATAGTATGCAGCCGCCAAAAGCTCTTTTAATGATTGTGGTTTGGACTCCTTCCCAGTTCCATGATCTCTTTTATGGTGGACACTTTAGAAAGGACTTTTAACTCCTAAGGGTCAGATTTGTAAGTTGTTTAATGGTCAGCAACCCATAAAAGTTAAGGCACTGGAATAGAGAGGGTTAAGTAACATAATAGACAGGAATTTGTACTAAACATGGCGTTTATTGTGCAAACTGGTAGAGGCGTTTAACATGGGTCGATGTTTTTCTACTTAAAAAATATATCGAAGGATAAGAAAAGTGCAGCTTCAGCACAGAAAAGGCTTTATGAATTTAAACATTAAAAATAAAATGTTATATAAATTTGTTTTTAGTGACTTCAAAAAAGGTAAAAAGTTATATAAATATGTTTTTAGTGACTTCAAAAAAGGTAAAAAGTTATCTAAATATGTTTTTAGTGACTTCAAAAAAAGGTAAAATGTTACATAAATATGTTTTTAGTGACTTCAAAAAAAGGTAAAATTTTATTTAAATATGTTTTTAGTGACTTCAAAAAAGGTAAAAAGTTATAAAGATATGTTTTTAGTGACTTCAAAAAAGGTAAAATGTTATATAAATATGTTTTTAGTGACTTCAAAAAAAGGTAAAATGTATATAAATATGTTTTTAGTGACTTCAAAATAGGTAAAATGTTATATAAATATGTTTTTAATGAGTTAAAAAAAAGGCAAATATTAGACATAGAGTCGTGATGGCTCAGAGGGTAGAGTGCTCACCTTCCAATGAGGTGACCCGGGTTTGAATCCCAGCAATGGC